TATCAGTTGTTGGGATTAAAAAACTTTTATTTCCTTTGACTTTGTGGTGTGCTGGTCGTGTATAGCTAGAATAGGATAGGAGGAGGTTTTTACAGAGGAGAATGGGAGCAGAGGCTTTATGATAGCTAAATTATATAACTAAATATGAAATTCACTAACACTCAGTTAAATAATAAATCATCATATAACTAAATTATATAACCATATTATATACAAGAGAGACAACATTGAGGGAGATCAATATTAGGGTTAAATTCTTCAATTTTGTACTTTCTGAATGACTGATTTATCCTACATAATTAAAAGAAATATATAAAATTGTGGTGTGATGTAAGTGAATATATAAGAAGTAACATATTAGTGCGCTATTAATTTGGGAAAATGCAATAATGATGTCTTGGGGTTGGCTTTCATAATTTGGCTTTTGGATTTGAACTCCTAGGGTTTGAGCTCACTTCTCAGCTAGTTTGCTTCTCTCCCTTAGCTCAATGTACTTCCTCCATCATGGTGAGAAATAAAAGCACCTATTGAGGTGTGCAACTTCTAACCAAATCATTCACATTCAAATCCAGCGACCAATACATGTTTGATGCAAACACTCATTCATCCATCCGCAACAATGAATAAAACAGGTCATCACCCCAGAAACCAGAATCAATACATCAGTAAGACATATAAAGTTTCGACACATACACCACGACATCTATTTCACCAAAGCTAATGTTATGTAAGATAGTCAAGTGGTAGCTAGCTATGGACACAGTCACATTTAGAGTAGCCACGTTCTCTGCTACATATCTAGGGCTCATCAGTTGCTTCTTCCAGCTTGACCTGGACATGGCATCAGTGCTCATATTTGTGAGCACGGTAAAGGAAACACCCAAAGTTGATAAGCAACAACCCAGCCATCAAGAAGAAGTAGCATTTTAGCTTTTCTTGGTTCAAATCATCAGGAAGCTAGTCCCCTGCTTTGTGAACCACTGAAACCAAAACCCCAACCAAGGAATATACCAGCCTTTGGGTCAGAAAGAGTGGCACCCACCAAGTAACACCTTTCATTTTCTCCAAAAAATCTTGCTGGCTGAAGATAAGCGGTCCAACCAGTGCCATCTTGTCGGCAAATCTGGCCATCGCGACCTGAGGAACCAGCCACAGGCTTGGCATGAACGAGACCATCTCTAGCTCCGATACTACGGGATTGAGCATTGTGGCTAGATATGAGACAGTGATTGCTAACTCGCTGCAAGAGACCTCAATCTCATAAGCTGCAAGGAGACGTAAGTGACATAGTAAAGTAAAAGATATGTAAACCAAAAAAAGTTATATAATTTGGTTATATAATTTAGTTATATATATACTTTAGTTAAATGATGATTCATTATTATGGTTGTCAAACATATCGTATATGATGATTGGTACAATAAGATTTTTTTCATAGATAAGTTAGAAGCTGTAGAGGGGATAAATCCCCCGGCCGGACGGTTTTTCCTTGGCATTTTACAAGAGGTGTTGGACTGTCATTAAGTGTGATTTATTAAAGGCCTTCGAAGACTTTCACGAGAATGGTCCTCTCCCAAATTGCATTTCCCACTCTTTCATTTGCCTCATTCTCAAGAAGGAAGCAGTTGAAGATATTAAAGATCTCAGGCCGATCAGCCTAATTGGAAGCGTTAACAAGTTGATTTCTAAGATTATTGCTGAAAGAATCAGACTTTTCATGCCTAGGCTTGTGTTTGGAACCAATTTGCTGGGGTGAAAGGAAAGCAAATCCAGGAAGTAACTTTAATTGCCAATGAGCTAATCGACAGCAGAAGGAAAAGTGGGAAGCCGGGTCTAGTTTTCAAGCTTGACATTGAGAAGGTGTTCGACAACGTCAGCTGGAAATGTCTTGAGCGTATCCTGCAGTGTTGGGGCTTCCCGACAAAATTTCAATCCTGGATTAATGGGTTGGTCACCTCGCCTCTTCTTTTTGTACTTGTTAACGGTGAATCTACAGGTTTCTTCAAGATGGAGAAGGGTTTAAGGCAAGGGGACCCTATTTCCCCTTTCCTTTTCATGCTCATGATGGACATGTTGTCCTTCATTCTTGATTCCTTGAAGAATGGCAGGCGTATTTCGGGTTTCAGAATGGATGAAGCTGGTCTCAGAGGAGAAGTTACTCACCTGTTATACGCTAACGACACCATTGTTTTTTGTGATGCTAGTGAAGATCAAGTGATGAACTTGTTGAGTTCCCTAGTTTGCTTTCAGGCAGTAACGAGATTGAAAATCAATGTTGTCAAATGCAAGATGTTCCCTATTGGAAACGTGGAGCAGCCTGGCCGGTTTGCAAATCTCTTCGGATGTTCTTGGAGCTTTCTACCATCAATTTACTTAGGTCTTCCTTTGGGTGCAAGCCCAAATTCTGGAGCTATTTGGGATAAAATCATCTTTAAATTGCAAGCTAGATTGCACGGTTGGCAGGGAAGATTCCTCTCCCTCGGAGGAAGAATCACTCTCGTCCGCAGCACTCTCTCGAGCCAACCTATTTATGCATGTTCTATACTCAAGGCCCCTGATGCTACTGTTCGAAGAATGGATAATAGTATGAGGAATTTCATATGGTCTAGCTACAATAATAATGAAAGAAAGTTACACCTTCTCAATTGGGATAAATGTAAGATGGCTAAAGAGGCTGGTGGGTTGGGGATTCTTGATATCAAGGGTCTTAACTCAGCCCTCCTCAGCAAATGGAAATGGAAATATGGTACTGAACCAGCAGCTTGGTGGCCAGGACTCATCGATATTAAATACCCCAATCACATGTCCTTATGGAGACCTGGTAAGGGAAGGAGCAATTTGGGTTGTTCCTTGTGGAAGAATATTTTGAAGGAAGAGCCTGGGTTCTGGAAACACGCGTTTATTAATGCTGGTGGTGGCGCTTGTGTTTCATTTTGGAAGGATTGCTGGCTACCTGAGGTGATTCTTGAAGATGCCTATCCAAGGGTTGCTGATGCTGCTTCTTCCCCAGAGGCTTGGGTTTCTGAGTGTATATCCTTTTTCTTCTTAGGGTATTTCTTGTGATGTTCCTTTATGTTTTTCCATGCGGGGTGGGACATAAAGGGAGAGAGTGAGTTTACTGCATACTTTATCTTCTGTTTCCACTGATTTGATTTCTGCAGGACCTTGCAAAATCATGTGGCGACTTTCTTCTGATGCTAATTTCTCGGTTAAGTCTTTGTACAATTGCATTATCTCCAGCAAGTTCCCGGGCGACAAAGACTTTCCTTCCGATGTCATTTGGAGCTCGCAAGTTCCCTCGAAGGTGTCAACTTTTCTTTGGGTGGTTATGCACAAAAGGATACTAACTCATGATAACTTGAAGAAAAGGGGGTGGAATCTCGCCAGCAAATGCGTGTTATGTGATGGTGAGGAGGAAACCGTGGATCATATTTTCTGCAGATGTAAGTGGAGTAAGCTAATCTGGGAGTGTTTTCAACCGGTCATGGGTTTCATAGGACCTCTTCCCTATACCATTGACTCCCTGATTAGAGGATGGCCAACCAATAAACATTGTTCCTGGAAAGAGTGGTTCCACATCAGATTACTTCATGCATTTTGCTGGGAAATTTGGAAAGAAATGAATACTAGAACGTTTAGGGATGAAGTGAAGACGTGCAGAGCAATCGTTTGCAGGATCGGGAACAATCTTCTGAATTGGAGCTTTGCGCACGGTGTTGTTAGCTCTTAGAATGACATTATTTGGCTACAGATGATCAACCAAGCCTGCCTCATGTACTGAGAGTCGGATGCTCGCGATTGAACAAGCGTGTTCTGAAAGGGGTTTTGCTGCCATTTGTTTCTTGTTTTTGCTGCACTGCTGGTGTCTCTCCTTTTTCTGGGCTTTTGTTTGTTCCTGGATTTTTCTTTCCCTTTCTCTTGGTACAATAAGATTTAACCGGTAAGAAAAAAATAAGTTGGAAGACCGATGTAAAGTGGTAGTAAAAACTAGTAAGAAATGGTCACAATTGAGAGAAGAGTGATACGACCAAAACGGTGAATTTTTCGGTACCTAAACATTGGTGGAATTATTAATAGAAAAAGAAGAAAAAATGAAAAAAAATGAAAAAAAATGAAAAAAGGAAAAAAATTCATAAAAAAAGAATTATTAATAGAAAAAAGAAATTTATCGAATTCAAGTATGAACATTTAGATGTTAGTGTTATATATTTAATTTAATGATAAAATAGGGATGAAAAATTGAACCAAACTCATGGGTACCCAATCCGATCAAAACGGATAAAACTCAAGGTTTATAGATTTTTGGACGAGTGTGGGTTTTATTTGATTTTAAAATTGGAAGGTTTGGTTGGATTTTGCCAAAATCCTGCTAGCTTTCCACCCTACCCGCACCAAATACCAAAACAACATCATTTTGTATCTAACATGAAAAAATGAATTTTTTTTATGAATGTTAATAGTCTTTATGATAGTCTAAACCCAACAATTTTGATAATTTATGAATGTTATAGTCTTTTGTAGGAAAAAATTTCACTAATATTATGATGTGGGTGTTCGTAGAAATAATGTATAGTTATGTTAATGAATCCATGGATACTCATGCACCCGTTGGTACCCGATATGTTGGGTTGGATTTTATCTTTTAAACCCAATGGGTATTTTACCGATTTTTTTAATGGGTGCACCCACAGGGTTGAGTTTGAGTTTATAGAAATCCTACTCAACCTGGCTCATTGTCATCCCTACTATAAATGTTTGGATGCTAATAATAATTCTTTCATTTAAATATGATGATTTGGCATTTTGTTTGCAGAGTAGTATCTTATTTAAATATAAATGGAGATTATGAGTAGATTGTTTTACAATAGATTTTATAAATGACAACTTTATTTGGTGTTAATGGTTTTCTTTTATAGTTTGATAAAATCGGCCTATAAAATCGGTTGTACCCCAACAAATTATATCATTTGGTCAACCAACACAACGATATAAACTGATTTAACAATCTTGTTAACTTATTGGTTTACATTTATGGATTGTCTTCGTATACGGAACTTCAATTGTGGAATTCAAAGGGAAATTTTCACTTAAGATTTTCAGCCTGCTAATTTTCTCACCGCTTGTGTCGTCTCTTTCTTCTGATTCTGAATGGCCACACGTTGCTTCAATGCTGATTTTTTGCGTATGGTTTTGTTGGTGACTAGAGTTTTTGGAAGCCAGTAAACTATCACCAACAGGCAACAGGTACTTATTTGTCAATCTCAAGGTTTTATTTCTCCATATCGGTTCATTAGTACCAAATGGTATCAGGGTTAGTCTTTTTATTTTTGTCAAAAGATATCATGTATTGATTAAAAAATAGATAGTTACACCCTGGAAACTAGTCAGGCCTGGAAATTAAAGAAGCGACTCATAGTCGGATACAGAGAAAGGGCTTTCCTAGCTACCAAATGAGCTACCCTATTGTTCTTCCGACCTACAAAACGCACACTAAAGCCAGGCTGAGTACGAAAATGATGGCCAATCTCTTCCAGAACAGCACCCAACCGGCTATCTCTTGTGTCGGCTTGATTAATTTTGTCAATAATCACCTTCGCATCGCCCTAAAACCAGACCTCCGACAAGCCTAGCTCCACACACCAAATAATAGCTTCCCTGAGCACAAGCAATTCCACCACAACAGAATCATCCATTTGAGAAAACTGAACCCCTTTACCCAGAAGGAGTGTTCGCGCTGGGTCAAAAAGAACCATTAATCGTGTTTATATGAAACTAGAAATTTACCGCGACTTTACTGCGGGTCTACGTGATTAGGAAAAATGCGGGTAGGAGGATCATATTTTTTAATGATACCAAGTAGATATATCAATTTTGAATGAAATATCAATCAGATCCAATTTATCTAGTTAAATATACAACTAATTTAATTTATTTTAATCCAATTCAAATTGGATTGGTGATTCATGCATTGGATTCATGAATTGTTGGCAAACTATATTTTAGTACCTATAATTTCTATACTTAACAGTATGATATCTACAATTATTTTTTTAAGTACAAAATTATTGGAAATTTTCTTTTAAGTATCAAATTTTTATTATTATGACATTTTAGTACTTAAACTTTTTAAAATTTACATATTAATTCAATGTTAGATGTTAGTTGGGTTAATGATCCAATCCACCATTCATTTGGTCCATGGATACACTAATCCAGTCCACCAATCCATGAAGTCAATTCATTTGCCACCTCTACTATCAAGTGAAAATGATAATAATATAAATATATGATGTTCCTTCTGCATTATTTTCTTATCCTTTTTCGCTCACCCTTATTTTTCTCATCTTGTTTTGCCCACGCACCTATTGAGAATTACACTAGAATAATGAATGAAATAACGACTTATAATTGTTTTTAGTCGAAAGGAGGATAGAAGCATCGAGCAAGACTCTAGCAATGGCATCACAAGGCTTATGACTCTCTAGTTTGGAGTTTGCACATGTATGAATACCATGTGTTCAATAAATGTGGGTTGTCGAAATATGAACACAAGGCCCTTCGACCATCGAAGGCTTTTATGTAGTGTCAAAATCTAGTTGATCCTAATAATTCGAGTTATTTAATGTGTTTTAAAGCAAGCTAACGACCAGCAACGTTAGAAAGTACATACATTTAACTGAAGACCCTTACTGCGACAACGTCCCGAAAACAAACCAACATGTCTTATGTGACTGTATCAAGCAAAGGTTGTTTAGAGCAGGATCATACCTCTTCAACGTCAACTTCAGTTCTTTCATAATGATTACAATACTTGACTTCAGGACAACCTGTCTGATGAATCTCACGGCAACTGGCCAGGTAATTGGGCAAGTTTTTTTAGCCTAATCTCATGGTACATCTGGAAATACAGTAATGACAACATTTTTAAAGGAAAAAGCTATCTCCTTCTACTCTTCACAACTATGTCATTTGTAAGGCCCGAGATTGGGCTAAAGCTTGGGAGACAACAAAGTGAAAGACAATCTCATCGCGACTACTACAAGAAGTGAAGCTCTTATAGGGTGGACGACTCTGTCTGCCGGTTGGTGGAAATTAAACACAAATGGGGCTGCTCAGAGGAATTTGGGGCTTGCTACAGCAGGTGGAGCTATTCGAAACAACTATGATGATTGGGTCAGTGGTTTTTGCAGCAAGCTTGGAACAGGTATAACTCTTATGGCAGAGTTGTGGGGAATTTATCAGGGTCTCCTCTTGGCTTGGAAAAAGGGAATTCAATTCCTCGTCCTTGAAGCTGACTCAAGACTTGCTTTGCATGTGATTGAAAAGCAAAATGATCAGGCTCAACATTATGCTACAATTGTTGGAGCTATTCGCAGACTTATTGCTCAAGAGTGGATTGTTCGTTTAGTTCATACGTACCGTCAAGGGAATAGAGTCGCGGACAGGCTCTCGAAGCACAGTCTCGTCTATCCTTTTTTGGTACGTATGAGCTAGAAGAACCACCACCGGACCTGCCAAGAATCATTAGAGAGGATGTGATGGGAATTAGCTTCCCACATCAAGTTCAGCAGGACTAGCTAAGCTTGTTTCTTCTGTGACTGTGGCAGGTCTTTTTAGTCTTTATTCTCCAATTTCTCCGACCCTCTCTCTATCTTGCGAGTCCAATCCCTCAAGTTCTCCGGCCGCAGCCATCGATCTTCCCACAGCTCCGTCGATATTTCTCAGGGGGAGATCGGAAAGCGACGATGAGGAGGCCGAGAGATCCAAAAGCCTCCGACGAGAGGAGAGAGGGGATATGAATTCTAGATATGGTAAGTTTTGGGCATGCATGTTGTTTGGGTTAATTCTTTGATTTTTGGTATCTATTGACTGCTTTTCTTGATTCTAGCTTATGGATTCTATTTTTTAAGGTGTTACCGGCGGCGGTGTGGGCTTCTTTCTCACACCAGCGGAGACGAATTCATCGAAGGCAGATTTGACGAAGGAAAAAGATACTAAAATATTCAGGATAAAAAGGAGAAATCGTTCCGTCTTTTCTCTCTCCACTTCCGCCCCAATTTGCGGGGCACACTAGAATAGTAGAATTGCTCTTCCAATCGTCCGGGGACTAGATACTATAACAACACTCCTTTTGTTGTTATTGTAACAACAATAGTCTCCAACCAACAGGAAGCTAGAGTTGTGATGACTTTTTATTAGCTTAGTTGACCTAGTGTAAAATCAAAACAGGGGTATAATTCTCATTATGAAAATATATTTAAATAATAAAAATATAAAAATATAGAAAATATTTTTTTATTTTTTGCCCAAAATTTTGGTCGCCGGAATTTGGCCACCGGTCATTGGAATCTGGTCGCCGGTCACCGGAATATGCTATTTTGTCATCGGAATATGCTCACCGTGGTCGGAATATGCTTACCGACATCAGAATCTAGTCATCGGGGCCGGAATATGCATATCGGCACCGGAATCTACTCACTGACGGTCATCGGAGTTTGGTCAATGGTCAACGACCACCGAATATAATGGTTTGCATTGTGAGATTGATGGTTTGGTTTCTCGTGTTTTTTTATGCTATTTGTGGTTTGCTTTATCGTGCTACTGGTTTGCATTAAGAAGTTTCTGGCGTGCTTTAAAATTTTTTGTGGTTTGCTTTGCAGGGTTTCTGGTTTGTTTTAATAGATTTGTGGTATGCATCAGGACGTTTTTGGTTTGTTTTTGTGGTTTGCTTTACCGTGTTTGTGGTTTGCATTAGGAGGTTTCTGGTGTGCTTTCGCAAATGTTGTGGTTTGCATTGTGGGGTTTCTGGTTTGTTTTAGGGGATTTGTGGTATGCATTAGGAGGTTTTTAGTTTGCTTTTTTGTGGTTTTTTTATAACGTTTGTGGTCTGCATTAGAAGGTTTCTGGTGTGCTTATGAAAGACTTATGGTTTGGTTTGTGGTGTTTCTAGTATGTTTTAGGCGATTTGTAGTCTGCATTATGAGGTTTCTGGTGTGCTTTAGAAACATTTATGGTGTGTTTTATGGTGTTTCTGATATGTTTCAGGAGATTTATGGTTTACATTACAAGGGTTTTGGTGTGTTTTTAGGTTTTTGGTGTGCTTGAAATAAAATAAAAATAACAAAGAAATCTAAGACTCCTTCTACTTGACATTTTTAGGTATTATTAGTATTGCTCCAACCATTAGTAAATCATTAGTAAATCTAGCTAATGATGACAAATTGCCAATAAACCATTAGTAAATCTAGCTATCAACCTCTCTTTCTCTAAAGACAACAAACCCAACAACATTGTAGAAAAGAGATCTGCAACATTCGCACCCACCGGAAACCACACAAATTGATCGAACGACCGGCCGACGACAATAGTAGTTACGAATGAACCTCTCATAGCCGCCTTCTCCTCCTCCCCAAATCCACTGGGCCGACGAAGAAAGGAAGCTCTTCCCACCTGACAGCTCACCTTCCGTTGTTATAGTATCCGGACCCAATCGTCCGCCCTCTACTAGATAAAAGTTTGCTAAACAGGCGCAAACTTATCGGGAAGGGCATTTACCCCTTGGAAATTACGCCCCCCTACATTTACGCCTCTATGGCTCTATCCAAACAGCTCTCAGACGACCTTTGGCTTGGGCGGAAAGAAAACAAGGAATGGCCGACTATTCATTCATTTTACCTGGACTTACAGTCCTAGGCAGTATACTTGTATTCCCAGACCTCTTAACTATCAAGACACAGAAAAAATGAGAATGAAATAAAACCTTAAAACTTGTAAATCGAAACTAATGACCGCCACAAATTGGGTGCAGAAGGAATTTCAGGACGAACAAAAAACTAACTGTTGAAGTTTCTCTGCAATTTTCATCATCTGTCATGGTTCATTCTATGTCTTTATCGGGGCCAATGTATATGGTACATCCAACTGAAGCTAAGATGAGTAAACACCCAATGAGTCCACCGAAAGAGGGAACTATCGTCGACGAAGCAATCCCCCATAGCTCTGTGAATGCAGCCTAAGAAGCAACGCGAGAGAAAGGGCACAGCGGCAAGAGGATTTTAGTAAGGTTTGTAAAGGAGACCGTATGAGAGAGAGATGGTGAAAGGAGTACCTCAACGTATTGAAAGTTTGCAGCTTTGCTTGTTTGCTCGAGCTGTAGGCCGCGGGCCAAGAACACCTAAAAGTTATAACAGAGGAAGCGTAAGCCCCCAAGAGCGCAGGTTCAAGGTCTTCAGGAACCGTAATGGAAAAACGAAAAGAGAGTCCGTGTTTTACATAAGTCTTTCAAGGGGAAATAAGTACCTCAGCTAAGAAGGCGAGACCGCCAAGAAGAAGCATAAGGAAGAGGGAACGCAGCTCTGGCAACACAAATTCCTGATGCAAGAGAGTCGAGTGATTTAGGTACAGCACAGGCTCCGCAGATATTTGGGAGACAAATGCCAGCGTATTAGATCTTACCTCGAAAATGAACATACAGACTAGGGCAGCAGGGGAGGCCAGAATTCCAAATGAAAACACGGTGGTCCTGGAAAAAGCAGGAAGCATAGAGTTCAAATCTCCCTAAGCTCCAAACTATGTGAACATGAAAGGGCAACTGATTGAAGCTACTTTAGATACAGCTGAAAAGTGAAGCCTTACACTGGCTGATCACAGGCCTTCGATCCTGCTTTTATGAGGCAGTAGCTGATTCCACCAGTAACAGATGAAAATAGACCAGCTAATATTGCATATACATAATGCATTCCCTTCAAGTTGGCAGCGTTAGCTGACCCGGCTTTAACTAGCTCACCTGCTAGACCTAGGAAAAACAATGGTATGGTATGTGTGAGAGTCAGCTTCCCTTGTCGTAACTCGTAAGCACTTAAAAAAGAAACCATACTATAGGTTCTTATGTTCCTAGGATGTTTTGTGGGAACGTATTATCAGCACGCTACAGGAGGTTTGTTAACTCACATCTCTACCTTGTGCAGTGAAGCTCTGTCTGAAAATAAAGAGCACTCCAAAGAAGTTGCAAGCAAGACCTGGGAAAAGAACTTCGGTAAGGAAACCACTTAACATTTTCACACTCCAAACAAAGCAAGAAGTTAGGGATAAATGCTGGCAGACCTGCAATGTCAGCAATTTTCAACTTCTCAAGAAATGCAATTCTTGCTGCAATGGAAGCCATTATGGGAGTTGTGAAACTTAACACGATAGCTTGTGGTAGAGGCAATCGTTGAACACTGAGAAGAGAAAAGTTGCTAATGTTCAGTCATAAACAACCACGAGAAAGGACAACCACTATAAATGTTTATATGAACTAAGCAGTAACCGCAGGAAGGTGAAACTCACCAGTAGATAAAGCTCAATAGTGACAAATACCCCATCAGGGCTCTTAAAATCAAGAGTTTCCTGGCAAGTGGTGGTCCAAATATAGGTTGTCCAGTTCTCCTCAACCACAAATATGACAAGACCAAGAGTATTGTACACCTTGCAAATGCAGTCTCGAATAAAGGAATCGACTGAGCTGCCATTAAATTAGCGAACCAGACGTTAAGCGAAAAGCATAACGCAACTAGAAACACCTAGGGGAAAGCCTCAGGCTCTCATAATGCTGGTGCAGATGAAATAGTAGTACACGTTCCTACAACCACCGATATTTTAGGTAACCATGCACGAGTTTCTGGAATTCATACCTTTATTTTTTTTTTTTTGGTTTATCTGATGATGACTTTGCAGTATTGCATAGTTTCCACTAAAGAGAGAAACCATAGCAACAGACACTAAATGATGCACTACTTATCCAATGGTTCAAAAGTTTTCAAGTTTTGTTGCTGGAAGTTGTCTGGACTGCCATACCAGCAACACAAGACAGAAAAAGAAACTCAGTCATAACAGGAAAACAATCCTTTTACTTACCAGCAAAGACATCAGAAACAACCTCCATAGAAAAGTAGATGGACGACGATAAAGCCACGCACAGCATACCCGAGTATCTGGATCCACCCCACAGCCACAAAATCAGTTGTGATACTTGAGCCTCGGATTCAGGTACTTTGATAACATGATCCTGCAAAATGACCAGAAAGGAAAACCATTAATCACACACAAACTACTCCAAAATTGGTTCCCTGTTCTTCCATTTTACCAAGTATAAGGAACCCTTCAGAAATTGCAAATTAGTAATAAACTCATTCCCCCCATTTGCAACCGACATACATCTGGCTTTCACTGTTTCATTTCCCTCCCACCTTTCTTCAAAGATCTTCAGATTTCAGTATTCTTCAAATGGAACAGAAATATTAGTGCGGCACTACTCACCAGCGACACCAAATCAAGAGAACAAAAGTATAGAAACCTAAACCTATTCTCCACCAGATTCTGAAACGAAGAACATCATCACCAATTCACTAAGTCGCGGACACTACATATTCATGATTTGCCAGGATGACTGGATTTAGTTACCCTAGCTTTTCGGCGGGAGTAAGAGACGGAGAAGATATTGATCTTGGGTTTCTCCGCCGGCTGCTTCAACAGAGGAGCAATTTCCTCCGACAAAGAGTCGGCAGCATCGCTAGCTGCGTCACCATTAGAGCCGGCAGAAGAGAATGCCGGGACATCGCAGACGATTAGCTCCACCGCGTTGTCCCCGTCGCTGATCTCCGATGAGGCCGCCATGTCCCCCGCTGGCAAGGAAGTAAGGGAGATGTTTACGACAAATTTCCGGACTGCAGAGAGAGACGAACTAGAGTGCTGTAAGAGGCGACTCGATCGAGGCTACATCAATGGCGAAACCGGCGGCGGAGGATGGAGGAGGAGGAGAATTAGAAGGCAGAGGAATGGTTTGGCGTTTGATTTTGTGGCCGGCTGAATTGAGGAACGAGATGGATGTGACGTGTGAACGATCGTCGTCAGTTGGGTTTACACGTGGCGTTGTCCAACTGGCTTATTACCGTCTGGGGAGTCGTCGGCGGCCAGAGGAGTAAAAATGGAGGCTCCTGGTTGGTGGATCAATAAACAAGTCATTGGAACTCTATTTAAGAGGCTAATTAACTGATTTGATACCTGTATTTTCCTGATTCGACTCAGGTAGTCCTATCAAATTTTTAGTTAGCCCCTTTCAAATTCTCTATACCTTCAACTAGAGTGTTCAAATTGTTACCGTGGTAATAACCAAATCAATTAAGTCTAAATTTCACAATGGAATAAAATGTTTTAACCAAACCATCCAAATAAATACGAAAACCAAATTAACCAAATCAAAGTTTAATTGGTTTGGTTAATCGGATAATCGGATTAACCAAATAACATAACATTACATAAAAACAATTATCATGTAAATGAATAAAACATAACAATATGTTGTTACTATCATAAACTATCATTATATATAAAATAATAATAATAATAAGACTAACCATCCATGATTATCATCACCATTCGAGTTAATACATCATTCATCATTTCTGCACATAATATAGTTAGGTTACAACAAAACTTTAACATAAATACATACATATACCCTCATCTGGAAGTTAAAACTCTCCTACAAAACACTTAAACTATACATAGTATTGTACGTAATCCTAAAGTCTAGTAGTTGTCCAAAATGTTTTGGTTTAGTAAATATGTAGGACATTTAATTTTTTACCCATAATGTGTTTGGTTTGTTGTGCACGTGAAAATAAAATAGGGAATCACGAAAGTTTAGCTTGATTGGTTGCATGGAAGTATAAATAATTTTGTAGATTAGGTGTATCATTAATTAGTTAATTGGTTTCATTGATTAACAATATTGAAACCAAACCAAACCGCCTAAACCAAATAAGCTAAATTATTTAACCAAACCAAACTAAATTAACCGAATACTACCGATTAATATGGTTACCACGGTAACCAATCCGTTTGAACACCCTTACCTTTAAGACTCCAAGATAAAGTGTGATTATATACATCCCTTCAGTTTCGAAATGAAGCAACTGAGTCCTAGATTAAAATTGAAAACCATTCAGTCTTTCAACATCAAACATAAGAAGTTATGATACAAATTGGTTCTACCAGAATCTAAACAGGCTCATTTCAATGACATCTCAATCTCCTCCAGTGACCGGCCTTTAGTTTCAACGGTGAAGTAGTGAGCAAATATCGCCGATAACAACGACATGCTGCCAAATGCAGCATAAACAGGGGCAACTCCGTACATCTCTACCATGTCGAGAAAGAATAGACCGACCAAGAAGTTGCAGACCTGAAACACGAAAGGCCGAATTGACTACTAGTTAGTTGTTACTCTGTCTCTTGTTCTTTCTAGGAACAGAGCAATAATGGGATTTGTTTGTTTCAACCTAAAAAAAGTTACTTAAGAAAATGAAGACTAAAAAAGAGCTGCAACTAAACTCGTCCTCTGCCTTTTAATCCAACTTCTTAAAGCAACATTATTACCCAGTGAACGGAAAGACTAAATCCCATGATCTTGCCGCGAGTCCTGGAGCTGCTGAGTTCTGGTATGATCATGCCAGTAACTGGACCAGCCCCGATGGCAAAGGTGTATATGTACCTGAATGAAGTCAAAAGAAAAGAGACGGGGTGCAGCATGAAGAAGATGCAAGATAAAGCACATAAAAAGGACAAACAAAGGAAACTATTTCTCACAGCAGAGTTCCCAGTATAGATGTGATGTGGCTAAGTTGTTCTTCGAGTGGCAATCTTATAGCACCTACTACGAGAAACATTGAAAGTGCCTGCATGGAAATGAAGGTCTGTGATGTAGAGTGATATGCCAAACATTGATAACTCAGGTGTTGGGACTCTGTACAAATAACATACCATCCCCAAGTAACTACCAATTAATAGCTTCTTTCTTCCTTCCTTGTCAATCAAGTATAGAGCAGATAGTGCACCTTGACGAAGAAACAGGATAGTTGAGAAAAGCGAGAAAGGAACCAAAGGTTTAAATTATCGGATATCAGACCAGAAGCGTTTCAAACCTGCAAAATTGATGATTCCAATGAATATGCTTGGCAACACGCTGCTTGTTATACCCACATCCTTGAATGTTAAGGATGAAAAGTAAAGAACTCCATTTATGCCAGCAAACTGTTGCAATAAGAAAAGCGAACCTCCAACAAATGCAACTGCAGAAAAGAGAGATATATCATTCATGGCATGAGTCTTCTATTAAGTTTGGGTTGCTCAAAGAGTTTATATCAGTCATGAACATTCAATTATCCTGTACTTGGGTTAGTCATACTTTAAAAAAAGATATCTAAGAACAACCTTTATACAACCTCGAGAGTGTGGTTGCTCCAGCAGTTCCAACCATGTACCACCTCTATCATTGCCATCACTCTTAACTACTCCCTGAATTTCTTCTATTGCCTTTTCAACTTCACTTGGGCCCCAAAGATTATAGATAACTGATTTTGCATCTTCTATTCTTCCCACCTATTTCAGCCAATATAAAAACTTCAGAATAATGACATGCAAGAATCTAATACGAACAAATTGTGGAATGCAGAGCATAACGAAGATGAAGAGGAAAAAGGATAAAAAAAAGAACTACTTTATACAGCCAGCGGGGGCTATCTACTGCAAACTGCATGCCTAGTGTAAGGACCACTCCAGGAAGACTAGCAAGATATAGCATCGTCCTCCACCTGAAGATGAATGTAAGCAGTTTAAGATATAACATAGGGAGAAGAACACCAAATATCATCAGTGGAATAGATAGATTACCAGTGGGGATCAGTTTCTGAAGGAATTCCAAGTAACAAAGATGCAATGATACCGAGGCAAGTCCCAATCTGAGAGAAGGTTCCCAGGGAGCCTCTGTATTTTGTAGGAGCAACCTATAAATTTTGAAGATATAAGATGGAAGAACTTGGAAGTTGCTTCATGTCATTAACACAGTTACTTTCTCCTTATCCCATTGCGCAGCTCTCTTAGCTATCTAATATTTATTCCCAGCATAAGCAAAAGAATGGATCTCGAAAAGGGAAAAAAGCTTTCACCAGAAGGGGAGTAGTACCTCTGATATATAGATCGGAACCAGAACTGTGTTCACACCAATCCCAAGGCCAACCAGAAATCGTCCACCAAGTATTTCTTCCAACGAGTGCGCTTGTGCACTGTCCACATAGCAGAAAGTGAAAGTATCAAACACGTACCCGTAAACCACAAAGGAAACAATGCACATGATGACTACTTAATTTCCACAATGGGAAGCCTGTGCTATTCAAACTAATTGCAAAGTCAATTACCTTATGATTGCACCAAGAATCAATGGAACAGTAGCAATCTGAAATGTCCGCCTGCATCCAAGTTTATCAGCCAGCGAGCCGCAGCCAATGCTTCCGAAAAATGCACCAGCGATGAATATGCTCACCACAAGTCCCTCGAGTATCGGGCTCCCTTCAAAACCCAGCTCCCTCGCAACAGAAACTATAGGTCCATTCATCACCCTGCAACACATTCAATCACAGGTTCAAAGTCTTGCCCCATAACCCAAAACCAAAATCCAAACTACTGAAGTAGATAACTAGTGAACTGAAGCAGTAAATCAAACAAATCTGCCATCAGGAATGCCTCCTCAGCAGCTACAACAGCTATGAATTCAACATACTTGTGCCCTAATAATCACAATTTGCAAAATCCGAAAAATGAAATTCCTCTCAGCAGCAACTTATCTCACACCTAAAGACACCGCCTATAAACTCCAACAGCTGCCACAATAACTCTTTCTCCATACCAATTCACGAGCAGAGGAAAAAGGGGGGGGGGGGGGGGGGGGAGAAAGAAAGGCGATGTCATTTTACCCAATGTGATAGCCAAACAGGAAATTGGACATGGAAGCTGTAAGCACATGAGGGAAAGCACGAATCCATCCTGGATCCGAATTCGAACTCCCACCACTCTTTCTCTCCGTCGGATCCTCCTCGCTGCTTTCTGCAATTTTCGGCTCGAGGCCATCAGTCACTCGCAAACCTCGCTTCTGACTCTCTCGGTGGTACTTCAATGGAGAAACTCTGAACGCCGGCCGCAGCGGCGGAAATGAGAATTGAATGCTGGAACGTGTTTGGTTGCGAAGGTGCTTCGAGGCGGCGATCGCCGGGAGAGGAAGTGGATGCGAGAGTACGGTAGCCGCCCGCATTGGATCAGATCAGAGGGAGAGAGGAGAAGGCGCCGCCAGCGAATATAATTTTCAGTTTTATTCTCGTATTTTCCCACGATCACTGCAAAGTTCAAAGGTGGTGATCAGTGAAGACTGGATAATGAGAGTCACGTGACATGCACGGGGGATGGCGACCGAATCTATATTATAATAATGGCGGGAAGTGAAGCGACACAAGTCTACTGTGCGGGGCCCACCATCTAACATCAGCTGACGGGTGGAACACACGTGGAGGCTGGACATCAACTCTTAATTTTTTTTAATTTTAATTACGAATATTGGTTCCAAATTTAGTTCTTTGGGCTGGCCCAGCCCACTTTCCTTGTTCAGTTCAGCCGACCTGGATTATCTGCTTTTTACATCTCGCGTAGTCTTGGGCCCTGGTCTATAATTTTGGAAATTTTATAGCCCAGCGAACAATGCAGCAACAACTGGGGTCGTTTGGAAGATAAAATACGATTATTTTGTTGAGATTGTAGGGTAAATTAACGATCTTTATTCCCAAAGACACTATCCCTAGTTCCCTACTGTGCATATAGACTGAGATTACTATTCATTTGGACCGAGATTTACTATACACTTTCCCCTGATTGGTTGCTTGCCTGTGTGTGGGCCCGGTGAGGTTTTTCAGTGTGTTGTGGTTGGGCCAGCAATTTTTTTTCCAGTGTTTTTATCTTCTCTCTCCATTATCTATCTCTCTGGTCTTTCTCTCTCTCAGAGAAATAAAGCATTTTTGGGATGCTGACGGGATGTATCTGTCGGAGAGAGGCTTTGAGGTGAGCGGGGTGAGGCAAGAAGCTGTTCATCCACACTGAGTGGAAGGAGAAGAAAGTAGTGCCCTGTTTTGTCCAATCAAGGCAGAGGAAGGAGAG